ATAGGCTTTTACGCGTCCTCCCTTTATTACCTAGTCTAAGGGAAAAAAGAAATCCTGATATTTGTCATTATCTGTTATGGCAAGTAAATGTCACAATGCTTTTAACAACTTCTACTCAGATTTTGGACTTCAACGTAAACATTATATTTCTGTTGACGTTCACGTTTACGTTAACTTACTGGAAACTTAGATACTGGAAATACTTCAACTGTCTAATAGTAATTGAAACGGTTTTGGCCCTTAAAACTTAGTGACAGTGGCGGTTTGCCCGTAAGGGCACTTGGGCACGTGCCCTAGTATAATAAACCAAAAAAAAACTTACATATTGTATATTTTCCTCAATGCCTATTATTATTTTATCTAATATTCAGCGCAAACCGCGTTGGCACGACACTGGACGAGGGCGTTGAGCGACGTTCCGAGAATTACGAGAATTCCGAGAATTCCGAGAATTACGAGAATTACGAGAATTACGAGAATTACGAGAATTACGAGAATTACGAGAATTACGAGAATTACGAAAATTACGAGAATTAGGAGAATTACGAGAATTAGGAGAATTAGGAGAATTAGGAGAATTAGGAGAATTAGGAGAATTAGGAGAATTAGGAGAATTAGGAGAATTAGGAGAATTAGGAGAATTAGGAGAATTAGGAGAATTAGGAGAATTAGGAGAATTAGGAGAATTAGGAGAATTAGGAGAATTAGGAGAATTAGGAGAATTAAGAGAATTAGGAGAATTAGGAGAATTAGGAGAATTAGGAGAATTAGGAGAATTAGGAGAATTAGGAGAATTAGGAGAATTAGGAGAATTAGGAGAATTAGGAGAATTAGGAGAATTAGGAGAATTAGGAGAATTAGGAGAATTAGGAGAATTAGGAGAATTAGGAGAATTAGGAGAATTAGGAGAATTAGGAGAATTAGGAGAATTAGGAGAATTAGGAGAATTAGGAGAATTAAGAGAATTAGGAGAATTAGGAGAATTAGGAGAATTAGGAGAATTAAGAGAATTAGGAGAATTAGGAGAATTAGGAGAATTAGGAGAATTAGGAGAATTAGGAGAATTACGAGAATTAAGAGGATTACAAGAATTACGAGAATTACGAGAATTACGAGAATTACGAGAATTACTAGAATTACTAGAATTACGAGAATTACGAGAATTACGAGAATTACGAGAATTACGAGAATTACGAGAATTACGAGAATTACGAGAATTACGAGAATTACGAGAATTACGAGAATTACGAGAATTACGAGAATTACGAGAATTACGAGAATTACGAGAATTACGAGAATTACGAGAATTACGAGAATTACGAGAATTACGAGAATTACGAGAATTACGAGAATTACGAGAATTACGTGAATTACGAGAATTCCGGGAATTCCGAAATTAAGTGGAAGATAGGCACAGGGCACAGTAAATGTGTGCCTTTGTTGTTTTCTCTCTCATTAGGATGCGAAAAAAAAGGACAACGACAATATCGCTTAGCAAGAGATGAACACATGCAATGGATTATACGTCACAAGCGGGGCGCTGTCCTCATCGTGACGTGCTGTACCCATGGCACAGATTACCTAGACCAGATACGAATGTACGCAGCGGCATCTTTACCGGCTCCCTCACACAGGCGATGGCGGTTTCGGCTTAAGGTGCGCGTTTGTTGGACCATGATAATAATTAATTTATTGTGATTACGAAAAAACGTTAGTTGGACCATTGGAATAGTTAAGAAATAAAACTACAAAGAAAAACAGCTTTTTTTTTATAAAGCAGTCAAAAATATGATGAAAAAAATCAATAATATTTATAAATGGGACAAAATTTTAATTTTTCTTTTGGTTTTGTCTGACTTTTTCGAGGATTTCAAATCTATGTTTGCATATTTAGGAGTATAAAAAATTCTGAGTCTTATAAATAATTTAATGGTGTACATTTTCGCAAATTGTTGACAAGGATGACCAAATTCTATTTTGCTCATCTCAAAAAGGTATGCGTTGGAAATTCCAGGCTTAGTTGACAAACTATCAAATAGAGATATAAATATTTTTTCTAATTTGAAAATATAAAAGAGAAATTTTTCGCTGGGAGATTTTAAATTGCCAAACACCTTTTCTTCAGAGCCGTATGCTTTAAAATGCGTTAACAAGTTAGAATTGTTAAGTAAATTGCATTCTTCTAAGAAATTTACGTAAATTTCGCAAGAGTGGATATGTAATGATTTTTTGATTAAATAGCCACATACATAGTTAAATGCATTTTGAGTGGTCACATTTAGCTCCGGACAACTTGTTTTCCTAAGGGAAAAACGAATCCCGGTATTCTTTTCCAGTGTGTGCCCCCACTGCCGCTAGTGCCCACGAGCCGCCACTGGTAATCAGATAGCCCTTAGGCTGGAAAGTTTGGAGATCCCTGGTATAAATCAAAAAGTTAAAATTTACCAGTCAACCTCAATTATGATTTCTCAAGATGTTTCGTTAGTTGCATTGTGATAATACCAACCATACGAGTATTAATTAATAATTAATTAGAAGTTATTTTTAAACAAAATATCCAGTTTTTGAACTGAAGAGATTTTAGGTTTTAAAATACATTTTTATTGTAAATAAATGATGTGACGAGGTCACTATCATATCGATTAATTATAAGAATTTTTAGTTCAACTTGATTTTCGCCTGTTAACGTTCGCAAGAACCATCGTAATTTTTATTTCTTAAAAATTTTTAAACATTTTCAAGAACCCGTGTAGTTCAAAATATACCATCATTTGCCGAAATTCGAATCAATCAAATTCATGTTAATGCGCTGGTTCAGTGATGATGTAATTATGGTTCCACTGACAATTAAAGTGACAGTAGATTTTTTGAGTGCGTTTTGTTCGTTGTGTTTACCTAAATTATATCGTTTTTTTCACTTTTATAAATATATTCCTATAGCATGCATCAAATATACAGTCGTTTAGTTACCAATTTACATACCTTTCAACTATTTTTATGACCTGTAAACAATATTTAGAAATAAACTAAAAACAGTAAGAACGTATATGTCAAATTTATTGATGTTTTTGTTAAAAGTTTGGTTAGAATTAAATGTCAGTGGAACCAAAATGTCATGATACTGAACTAGCGCATTAGGCATATTTGGTAAATGTCAAAAGGACGTTGTTTTGTTGACTAGACAAGTAAACACTCCAAACCAATCGTAACCCGAACCATAAAAGTATAAAACCGAGACCCCAGCGAATTTTTTTTTTACTTTGGTGTCGAGTTTTCGTGACATTAACAAAACAGTTACCGTCACTTACATTACTTTACCAACTGTGGAAAAATCCAAGGTAGGAACCTAACACCATTAATTTCCTATTAAAAGTTATCGAGTTTTATTTTGTTGTTTTCCTGGTCAAAGCCTGCTGTGTCGTATTTTAGTCAAAAAATAATTTTATGGCCCGAGAAAATTATGTTTTTGTTCTATTTTTGTACTGCGTACTGTATTGGAATTTCTGAAATTTCGTAAGAGAGGCAAGACCAGTGAGCTCACAGTCTTGTTTCTACGGCTAAATTTCTCAATATCCGATGTAATCCAGAGTCAATATACCTTTCATTACGCCGTTGATAATTGAATCTTTAATTCACACCAGACCGTCGATCACGAAACAACATTGTTCTTTAATCCGTCTCAGTATCAACTATATTAACCGGAGTCCCTTTAAAATATTCTTTAAACAGAAACCGATCAATAACGTGTATGAATCTCCGTTACATTTAATTTTTCTGATAATCTGACCATAATCCCTGGGTTAAAATCGTTCTGTTTAATATAAGTTATGCAGAGATATCCATTACAAGGGACAGTTTAAAACAGTTTAAAACGGCTCGTGGCAGAAATATTGGAGGTTCACAGACAGAAAATGTAGATCTCAGTACAGATGTATTTTTAACAGACACGTTATTTGTGAACAGGTTGTTATTTCTGTGTGTTTATAAAATAACAGACCGGTTAAAAATAACATAGGTTGTCAATCATAACCCCCTAAAGCTTGGCTTTCAATATATTGGTCACATAATGTTATGTTGTTGCCACCGATAAATGTACTATCTATCACCCTTACTATCACCATAGGTTTAGCGATTATTCTCTGATCGATAAATTAGATTTTTGCAATTTTCCAAAGTATCCAAATTGTCCAAATGTACCCCTTGGTTGGTGTAGATTTGGACAGTGTAGGGGCAGGTGTGGACAAAAATAATTTGTTATATTCTAAAAGTTTTAGTCATTTTTATTTATTTTGGTTTACGTTATAGACACTGAAGTTTACTTGAAACCGCTTTATTGAACTTGACTTTGCAGTTGTTTCAGATGTTCTTGGCTTAGGTAGTTTTTAGTTCTACTTGTTCCAATTCTATTAGGTCCTTATCAGTTACTTGGGAAAAGGTAAATTTATCTTCTTTTTTTCTTAGAAAATTTGTTAAATATTTTCCGTCGACAATTTCTTCCACTTCTCCAACATAATACTTTTGGGTCTTCTTCATGCAATACTTTACCAGTAAAAAAAATCACCAATTTTGATATTTGGCGTCCCAGATTCAGGATCTATGATAGGTTCTACATCTTGTATGAATTCTTGGTCGAAATTTTCACGGTCCATATCACTTAAACAGTCAGATTCATCATCAGTGTAGATAACTTCATCCCCGAAATAATCTAAATCATTTGCTTGTTGCTTTACATTATCAAATGGATTCTGTTTCACTTGCTTTTTCTTTTGCTTAGCTATCTTCTCTTTTTCTAGTCTATTTTTTTCTGGCGTATATGTTAGAATTCGTGATTTTCCAGGCTGTCTTCCTTTTAACTTTAATTTATTTTTCTCTAGTTTGGGGTAAGGCTGTATTATCTCTGGCGAAATGATTTCAGGCTGTAATGAAGTTGATGGAGTGCTAATGACCAGCGCAGATGTTGATGGAGCATTTTATAAAGTGCTAGTGACCAGCGCAGATGTTGATGGTGTGTCTGTTTCTTCTGGAGCCCTTGAATCAGTTACAGTTTATTGATATCAAAAAGGGGACTACAAAAGGTACACATGAATTATAATTAATTTCGCAGTCTTGGTTTTCTCTGGGGTAGATTGGGTCAGTATCTATATGTACCCCCGACTACGTGTCCCTATCTACCCCAATCATGCTTGTGAACAAAATAAGGTTATGTAAATTATACATATAATATTTGTTATCTGTCTTATATAACTTTTGTCACATTATGACGCAGTATTGATAATTAGGGGAGAGGGAGAACTTGACACGGGGCACATATGAACATTTCAAATTTTTGCGCCACTAAGCGTGAAGTTTAATTGTACTACTTGACCCTTAGATGGCACCACGTGTACCCATTTTGTACCCATTTTGTTGTAGAAAAGTTTTGATCGCCTCAAGCAACTCCGTAGCTTATTATTACATCACACTACGTCATCGTGTTATATAACATTTATTAAGACTTACAAATATTACATAACTAGTGATATTTTGACGGAACATACAATTATTTATTTGTTATGTAACATACTCTAAAAAACAGAACTGTTACGTGATATTATATAACCTTGTTTATTGGGTTTAAATAAAAATTGACAGGACCAAGCGATTATCCAAACCTTAGACGCAGTTCCTAATAATGACTCCGTTTCGTTTTTGTCTGGTCATTCTGTATATTAAAAAAATATCTTACGTTTATGCTGAAATCAATGAAATTGATTTGTTTTTATTTAGCTCACTGACGTTACACTAATGCATGAAGAAAATCATCAATAATATAAATATTTTGTCCCGCTTAATGAAATATTGATTTAGACGTTGATTATAATCAAACCAAAAAACTTTACACAAATTTAAAAAGAAAATCATTACCAAACATGACTAATACTGGATCAAAAACAATGTTTATTCAATACAAAATTTTATCATTATTAAAATAAACAGAAAGCTTAATGCCTTATTATAATAAATAATACCCTTGCCATGATACATTTGTTATCACTAGTAGTTGAAACTTTTGATTGCAATTCATTGCTAACCTTTTGGTAGTTCGACGTTAATGGCAGTCAACGAATATGGCTTGGTACAACAAAATTACCGTGGAAGTGCCTCTGTTGATAGTGCTGAGCAGCTTTATGTTGATGGGTGAGTGAATTTTTCCATAATAATTCATTAAAAATCTACTTATTAATTTGTTTTTCAAATTTATAATATAGATTTCATTCAAAAATGACGTTATAAAGCTATGGATGCATTTTATCCTCATGTCATTTTTTTAATATACCTATTGGATATTAAGATTGACGAATCAAATATATTTACATGCTACAGACAGACTAGAAAATTCATTTACAATTGATTTTTTAATTAAATTTCATTATAAAAATTCGGAAAAGTTTGATATGAACTACTAATGGTATTGTGATCAGTATTTCATAAAATTTAGGTAACTACTTTTATATAAAACTCGTATTTATGTCAATGACCTGTAGATTGCAAAATAAACAATTGAAAAACCAATATTTTACAGTATGTATGCACCAGTTTTTCGACTTTAGTAATTTTTTTCAATTCGCAATAAACACATTATTTTTAATTTCTTTTTTAAATTGACCACCATGTAGTTTATATCACCCGTAATTATTATACTTTAATTTGAGTTATTCACTTCCTTTACTCAAAGGTAATAGTTTTGGAAGGTATTCAAAATTAAATAATAGAAAATAGTTAATTTAAACTGTCACTAGTTAATAGAAAATACATTGCGTTTGTTAATTAGTAATTAGAATTTAACCAGCTCTAATTTATTATCGACTGAATAATTAGAGATTAAACGACTTACCTTAAGGAAGTTCAATTCTCAATTATACGAGATAGCCACGTCCGAAGAGATCACATAGGTAGTCTTGTTTCTTATCGCTTTTGCTCGTATTGTTGAAAGAAAAGTGTGAATCATGTACATGACCGTCCCGCTGATATGTCGATAGCTATTCATTACAGTCGTTTTGGAGTGCTTTGTAGTTAAGACAACTGCAAGGGTTACGTCTTCAATCGGGCGGGTTTTGGGTGTGATCTCTTCGGACGTGGCTATCTCGTATAATTGAGAATTGAACTTCCTTAAGGTAAGTCGTTTAATCTCTAATTATACTTCGATAGCCACGTCCTCGAGATCACATAGGTAGATGTTTAAAGAGAATCTGCAGTTGTCGGACTAATTATATAATTCATATTAAAAGAGAAGGTATGATGTTCAGTATCAAAACTTTTAATGTAAATGAACACTTAAACTTACATGAATGTGAATAACTATAACAAATATGGAATTAATGTAATTAATAATTAATTAATTAACATAAAGTATTATAATGCCCACAATGTACAAAAATGATATAGTATATAAATCGATATGAGAATAAAACAAAGACGCATAGTTACAAGCAGATAGTTATTTTTGCGATTCTAGTACACATTTTGCATACCCGTTATCGTTAACTGGCTTGTTATAAAATTTGAAAAACACGTTTGATCTTTCCGACCATCCGGCTGTTTTCCGAATGTTATCAATGGTCATGCCTTTCTTGAACGCATAAGATGTTGAGGCATGACGTGTGCTGTGACTTTTGTATATTGATGTGTCAATCCCCGCTGACGCTAATCCTATTTTTATCCATTTGCTGATAGTCTGTGCGGTTGCCGGATGGTGCGGTCTCTTGAATGTCACTAGCAATTGATCCCAGCTTCCCCTAAGACTTTCAGTAATTTTGATGTAATATGTGAGTGTGGATGCCACGCACAAATTGGTTTTTGTCTTAAAATATGGTAGTAATAATTTAGGTTGTGTTTTGTGAGGAGTTGATGTTTTTAAAATATCTGTTATGTTTACTTCTATCCTGTCAAAATACGTGATGTTAGATAGTTTAATTTTCGATATGGTTTGTACTCTTTGTGCTGTGGCTAATGCGAGTAAAACGACTAGTTTAATGCTAAGGTTTTTGAGATTTAAGGCTTTCAGCGGTGAAAGTGTTTCCAAAAAATTTAACACGGGTCCAGGGTCCCACGTTTCGCTGTATCTGGGAAACTGAGGCCGTGACCTAAACACGCCTTTTAAAAATCTATTTATAATTTTTGTCTCAAAATTTAGAATTATGCCTAAAGCTGACTTATGTGTTTTGATTGTAGAATAAGATGCACCAGAGTCAAACTCATTTTGTAAAAAACCTATTATTTTATTTTCATTTGTTTTATAAACATCAACTCCTTTACAAAACTTCCACCATTTTTTATATGTCGAATTATATTGTTTTAAAGTGCTGGGACTCAGTGAAGCCAGGATCATACCTGTTGATTCTTCAGGGACTCCATTTCTTAAATACACTTCCCTGATAATCTGGTTGCACCCAGGGTAAGCGTCTTCCAGAGAGGGTGTGGTTCTCTGTAAGGAGATAAGAGTAAAGACTCGGCAGGCTTCATTATTATTATATCGGATATTCTGATTTTTTCCATTACTGGAAACCAGGGTTGTGTTCTCCATATAGGAAAAACCAGAATGCCTTCAGCTTTGTCTGTTAATATTTTATTTATGGTTCTTGTTAAAAGAGAAAATGGTGGAAAGGCATAGAACTCTAGGTGTCTCAAATCCAAAGTAAAAGCATCTGTGAAGTCAGACGCTGGATCCGGGTGCCATGAGATAAATTTTTCACATTTCATGTTTAAATGCGAAGCAAATAAATCTATTTTAGGGGTGCCTAAGTGTATAAAAAATTTTTGTACCATTTTTTCGTTTAAGCTATACTCTATTTCATCATTACAAACTCTTAATTCACGATCTGCTATGATATTTTCTTTGGAGTTGATGTAAGAAGCAAAAATCATAAGGTTGTTGTTCTCACACCATCTCCATATTTTATTTGTTATTTCGTTTAGAACAGGAAATTGAATTCCCCCCATTCTGTTTATATATGAGATTGCAGTGGTATTATCTACCCTCAATAAAATGTTAATGTCATTAGAATGTTTTGTGAAAGATCTGAGCCCATTATAAACTGCAGCAAGTTCCAAATAATTAATATGCATGTGCCTTTCACTTTTGGACCAAGGGCCTCGGGTTGCCAAATCGTTGCAAAAGGCACCCCATCCAGTAGGAGAGGCATCTGTAAATATTGTGAGATCATATTTTCTTTGACCTAACTCATTTTTACAGTTTTTATTGAGAGAAGACAACCACCACTGCAAATCTTTTCTGTTGTGATTAGATAAACTCGTGTTGGCTTCAAAATTACCCCTGTTTTCCCTGAGTGCCAAAAATTTCTAGGCTTTTTGTGTACCCACAACTATATTTAACTGCCGGACAATTAGACACTAGAATTCCGATTACTTTGGCCAGGAATCGAATCGAGACATGTTGTCTGTTTAAAAGAGAGACTATTATATTTTTGCAATTTTCTTTTTTATTGTCTGGTAAGGCAATTGTCATATTCACGCTGTCAAACATGAATCCCAGAAATTTTATTTTTTGTTTAGGAAATATCTGACTTTTTTGTTTATTTATGATAAAACCTAAAGATGTAAAAATATTAACAGACATTTTTACATTCCTGCAACATTCTAAGTCAGTTTTTCCCAACAAGAGAAGATCATCCAGATAAATAGTGGACACACAACCGTTGGTTCTTAAAAAACTGATTATAGGTTTTAAGAGTTTTGTAAAGGTATATGGGGCTGTTGCCAGTCCAAACGGTAAGCAGACAAATTCATATAGTTTGTTGTTGTATTTAAATTTTAAATATTTCCTTGAAGTAGGATGAACAGATACTAAGAAGTATGCATTTTGTAAATCTAAATTAGCCATAAAACAATTTTTTGTTATTAAATTTTTAACCGTTCGGTAATCTTCCATTTTAAAATGGGGAACATTAATGAATTTATTAAGGGCTTTTAGGTTTAAAATGAACCTGTTTTCCCCATTGGAATTTTTTCTTAAAAAATAAGGTGAGATGAATTCTCCCTTATAATGTTTTGAGTTTCTAATTGCTCCTATTTTTAACAAGTCACTTATGGATTTTGAGAGGTCTGCAGAGGGGTTAGTAGGAGCAATTTTCTTTTGTTTAGGTTTGGTTTGAAATAAAATTTGATAACCTCGTACTAAATTGAGTATGTTGCTATCGTTTGTAACCTTTAACCAGTTTTCGTAAAACAACTTTATTCTACCAGCACATTTTATCTCTAAATTCGTTTGTGTTGATAATGTTGCTTCTTATATTGATATTGTTGCTTCTTCTCTTGATAGTGTTTTTTCTTCTGTTGTTCAGGTTGCGTCTGCCAGTTCTTCTTGCTGTTCACTCCCCCCTCTCTCGAATGTCTTTGTCTTCTTGAAAGGAGGGCGTTGCCAGTTTAAATGTTTGGGATATGTAGGAGGTTTATTTATCCACTCTTTGGCTATGTTCTCGAGTGTTTTTGCTGCTTTGCAATTTTCGTCCAAGTTAGAGCCAAACAGAAATTCATCAATGCCTTGCTTTTCTATTACTTTTTGTATTTTTGGAGTTAAATGACTTTTAAGTTGGTGTCTTCTATGTGTGGAAATCGTATGATGGGTATCTGTTATTAATTTTCCGGCATCCACTATCGCCGTTACAAGTTTTTCATCATGTTTCTTGACATCTGTCAAAACTGTCGAAATTGCTGCTCCTAAAGCAGTAAGTCCCTTTCCCAACATTTCTTGAGTATTCTGAAGAAAATTTTCCTTTTTCAGGTCCAGTGGGGCCAAAAAAGTTTGAAACTCGGGATTTAATTTTGGAGCTTTTAAGGCTAAGCAGTTTTTAGGCGTGTTCCAACGATTTATCAATTCGTGACGTTCCTCTTTTTCTATTCCCGTTGTCAGGTAACTTTTCCATCGGCACGCAATTTCCTCGGCGATCTCAGGGCCGTCTGTGATCTCTTTATTCGGATCTACCCCCAGAAGATTTTGAATGTCATCTGGAGGCACCTCTAAATCTGACTCATCCTCGGATGAAGAGGCACTGCTAGAGGTTGATGAGCTACCTGTAAAAGGCACACTATATTCGTAAGTTGAAATGTTACCATTTTTGTATCCAAATTGAATGTTTCTTAATATAATAATCATTGCTTTTATATCTGTTAAAGTGGTA